TTTTGCAGAGTAGGTTCCTTTCTATGAAAGAAGTTAGGATGTCCACCGGTCTTCTTGGACTGCTCTATGTGTTTATGTATGGTCATGTATGTTGCCCCTGTGTGTTGAGTAGTGTGCACATGTGTGTGCATGCTTGTGGGGGGTAGAAGCTGACATTCTCTGCCATCATGAATAATTCCCTACCCTTTGTTTATGGAGACAGGGTCTCTTACCGAAACCAGAGCTCACCTATCTCTCTGGACCCGCTAGCCGGCAAGTGCCAGGAATCGTCCACAAAATGGAGACACAAGAGTTGACTTCATTGTCTGGGTTTCTACATTGGCACCGGGGGTCTGAAGACACTCAGGGTCTCACGATTGGGCTGCAAGGGTTTTACCCATTTAGCCATCTCCTCTCCCTCCTCAGCCCCCAACTGTTGCCTTTTTTCTTTCTTCTTTTCTTTCTAGAGTCATTTGTTTTTATTTTATGTGTATGAGCACTTGCCTGCATTTACGTATTGTATCTCATGGCTGCCTGGTATCGGCAGAGGCCAAAAGTAGGTGTAAGACTGTGTGTAACTGCAGTGACAGATTGTGGCAAGCCAGCATGTAGGTTCCGGGAACGAACCCAGATCCTCTGCAAGAGAAAGTGCTTGTAACCACTGAGCTACCTCTCCAGCACACTCTTCTTTTTCTAAATGCACACTATAAACTGAAAAATGATGAGAGAAAAAAAAAACACACCTCAAATCCCTTTACTCAGAACAACTGTTGATCCCCTCACCATTTGGGTAGTGTTGTTTCTGACTTTCTCTCCATGACCCCACTTAGGAAAAGGAGGCCTGAAGAGCTCCCCTCTCTCCCACGCTGTGTACCCCGTTAGATAAAGCATGGGAGTTATTCTCCCTGGTAAACGATCACCCCTGGTTACTGCTGGCCTTGGCCGTGACTCAAGCTAATATAGCTCTAACAGGACACGTACACAGGCACTGCCGAGAGGCACAGTAGCCTGTCAGGAAGTGAACTTTACTCTTGGCCTTCTGTAGAAAGCAACGACTGATTTTTCTTTCTGCATCTTCAATTTGGCCAACTCCTCTTTGCAAGGAGTTAAGGCTGCAACCTTGGATCCAGACTTCTGGGGAAGTGGGGTACTTCCAACACTGGAGATTTGGGTCTGGTGTGTTTTCTAGAAAAGAGTTCCAGACTTGTGGAAGACGGGACTTCTATTGATGAATATTTTCTGAGTCCTTCACTTCCTGGTGCTGCCTAGCACAGCAGTAGAAACACAGGACCCTCAACTCCTAGAGAAACCCAGGCTCCTGCAAAAACCCTCCCAGAGCTCCGCAGATTCCCTAACTTTGGCTGAGGTCTATGTGTGATTAGAGGGAAGTTCAGAAGCCCGTGACCCAGAGATACTTGGATATCTAGAGGACCATGACATTTAGGGGAAATCTGGAAGGGCTACTCTGAGCAGGCAGCACTTGTATGCTGTTTAACTGTAGTCTTCGTCATGGTTTTGACAAGAGTGCATTATTAACCTATGCTTGGCAGAGGAAGAATGAGACCCTGTGTTCACTTCCTAACCCAATCTGAGGACATCTGTGTACTTGAGCACAAATATGTGCATGTGGATAGGAGACTGCTCACATAGCTTTATTTTATTTTGTTTTATTGTTTTTAGACAAGGTCTTAACTATGCCTTGGCTGGCGTTGGACTCTCAGATTTATCTGTCTCTGCTGGGATTAAAGATGCAAGCTGCCACGCCTGTCTCACGTAGTTTTTTGAGAGTTCCCAAATACAAAAAAAAATTTTTTAAAGATTTTATTTATTTATTTATTTATTTATTTATATGTGCATTTGTGTTTTGACTGCATGTCTGTCTGTGAGGGTGTCAGATCACCTGGAACTCGAGTTACAGACAGCTGGGAGCTGCCATGTGGGTGCTGGAAATTGAACGCAGCTCCTCTGGAAGAACAGCCAGTGCTTTTACTCATTGAGCCGTCTCTTCAGCCCCCCCAAATATGAATTTTAAACAAATAAACAAACACACAGAAAACAGATTGAAATCCCAAAACCCAAGGTGAAAGAACTGTTGTACGTTCGAGACTAGCCAGCACTACAAAGAATTTGAGGTCAGCCCGGGGTACTCTGTCTTGAGAAAAGCATTTTAAAAAGAAGTGTCCGCAGGGAAACAGAGGAGGAGGGAGAGGCTAGGTTAGGCTTGGGTCTGGACGCTGGCTGTTGTCCAGCCTGCAGGAGAGCCACGTTGTAGCATGCACAGAGAGAAAGTACTTTTTTTTTTCAAACGTGGATCCGCTCCCCAGTTTTCCTGAGTAGACACCAATCTGAGCCTTCGCATATCCTTTTTGAGCAGGGGAACGTACTAGCATTGCCCAGAAGGAGAAACAGTTCCCATCCAAACATTACCATAGGTTTGGCTTCTTCCAGAATTCTCCCATTGCTTTGGACCAGTAAATATTTAAAAAGTTAGGTTCTGAGCTCCAGAAAAGCCAACAAAAACATTTAAACATATGGATTTTTTTTAATTGTGGTTAAACCATGCTCAGTAGAGATTCGTTTACAACAGCCTCCCCCCTCCCATTTTTTCTTTTTCTTTCTTTCTTTTAGGAAGCCAGAAGGATAAACATGTTGCCATGGAGTTCTGTTTAAAATAAAATACAATGGAAAGAAAAGCCGCGTGATGAAGTAACCACATGGACTGCAGGATACACCTGATACTAATTACTGTCATGAAGAATGTTCTGGAAGACATTTGACTCGCCTGATGTATACATTCAAATCAAGCAAAACAGGACTGGAAGGCTCCTTGGGGACCCTCCTGTCCAACTCTTTCCTTTTTCCAGATGAGGAAATAGGGGCCCAGAGAGGGGAAGGACCTGGACCTTGGCCTCCCAGCCGGGAGGGAGCCGAGCTGAGATTCCAACTGCTGTCCTTTCGTCAGAAACACACAGCTTCCAGGGTCTGTTACCTTGGCCTGTCAGTAAAGGCTTTGAAGCAGAGAGATGGGGTTTGCTGCCAGGAACAGGCTTAGGAGCGAGGGGCCCAGGAAAAAATGCAGAGGCTGACTTTGCTGCAGAGGCCATCCTTCTCTCAAGGACACCGGGCCTGGGGGACAGAGAATGGCCCTTGGGCGGCTGAATGTCCTCTTGGTGCTCATCGGCTGCTCTTACCAGGCACCAACTCATGTTCTTTTGGGGTTGCAAGGCTGACGGCCCCCAGGGACCCCGTGTACACGGCTGCTGATGCTCTCTAGCGGCCGTTGTGACCCCACGCGTGGGCCACGAACAGGAGCCCCCATGACAATGCGCACTCCTTGCCTCTGCCCCCAGAGGCTAGCAACTGGGCCTTCTGATGTCTGATTGGCCACAGGGGCTTGACGACAGGGTCTTCTTGCTGATGATTGGCCCCAGCCAGCTCTGGCTGTTTCCTAGCTATTAATACTGTGGGCTAATAAATGTCTCCTGTTGACTGGGGTACTGGGAGCCATGTTTTTTTGAAGCTTCCGTGACGTCTGTGGCTGGTGAAGGCCTTTCTGGCCGGTCAGGGGCCCTCTTTTGGGGGGCTGTCTGTATGTTCAACAGGCTGAAAATGGGGGTGTTTTCTTTCTCTCCTGGTACCTGAAAAATTCAGATAGCTCTTTGTGATGCCCCCCAATAAAGCTCCGGTTCCTACATTAACAATCCCCGCACCCCGGAAAGGCCTGAGTCATTGCAGAGTGATGGCCGGTACCCGGGGCTCAGTGGTGGCCCTTTTCAGCCCCCGGACCTGAGTTAAAGTGGTGTCATAGGATTGCTGGCCATAAGGGGCTTATGCGGAAGCGGCTGCGGAGCCCAAATAAGGACAGGGGGCTCTTCTAACCTCCTGCCCCCACGGAGCCTCCGATTTCCCTTTTAGGGTCTTTCATCCTCGATCCGTTTCTGCCATCAGACATTTCTTCCTTGGCACCCCAGCTGCCACCCACCTGTCACCCTAAGATAGATCCTCCGTCCCTTTCAGCAGCATTTTGACCTTTTCGAGAGGACATTTGAGTGACATGTTGCCCACTTTGCCACTTAAGGCAGGGCAGAGCAGCCGGAGGTACCACCTGTTAAGGATTAGCTCTCCTGTGCCAAGTCCCGGAGAGAAGGCAGCCAGGCAGCTATGCGCCACAGCAACATGTGTCGCTGTCTGTCTGCCTGGGCTGCGGGAGGGGGGGCACCTTCCAAAGTGTGGGGGAATCAGCCCGATTAGGGGGTGCACTCTAAGCATTACCACATAGGACCCCCTTTTCCCTCATGAAGTATTTTTTAGGGGGGCACAGTATGAATCTGTATTCATAGTGCGCGGCAGGTTGCAGGGTACCCCCTCCACGGGCAGAAATGGACCCTTGGAAGAGGAAGGGATGTCGTAAGCTTTTCAGTGCACAGGTTGTTAGCGGTTGAGCCCGCGACTTGAAATCTCCCATATTAAGATAGTCCATCAAAAACGGGGTGCACTAGGTGACAGTGACAGCCTCGGTCTGACATTTGGGAATCAATTATCTTATCTGGGCTTTTTATTTTACGGAGAAATAATAATAATCCTCATTAAAAAATAAAAGCCACGGCATTCTCTTTCCCTGAGCCCGGAGCCTCTGATGCTGTTCTGACGCATCCCGGCAAACGAGCTGTCAATCCCCCGGCACCCCACCTTTTTTCTTGGCCCCCCGAGTACAATCATAATTTGGGGGTGATTCCCCCCCAGACTGTGTCTGCAAATCTCCCTTCCATCCGTGATCAGGGCTCATATAGGGAAAAAGCATCGGCGACCACAGGGTGTTGGTCATGGCGGCCAGGGGCACTGCGGCAGATTTTTTTTTCCTCCGTTCTTTGCTGCAGTCTGGGTGCGGCTACAGCAATTTGTCATAGAATCTGGGGGGCTCATTTTTCCAGCCAATCACTTTTAGAGAAATGAGCGCATTGCAGCAGAATGTGCTGACGTCAAAGACCACCCCCTCTGCGCCTTTATATAAACCCCACCCAGCCAGCCCCTAGCGCAGACGGCGAAGAGCTGGGATAGAGCTCGCCTCGGCTCTGCTGGCCTTGGCTGCAGCTCTCCCAGAGAGCGGGGCGCCCCAAGAAGAATCCGTTACCTGGTGAGTGGTTGGCCATCCTTTAACCGAAAGGATGTGCAAAAATGAAGACGACATTTCTGGCCAAGGCTCTGTCCTCCTGGACATGCCGAAAGGCCGTTGCTGGGGACCGTCTCCCCAAGGCAGCCCCTTACTAAGCCTGGTCCCCAGCATCTGACACGACATTCTGTCAGGAAGGGAATTCTGAGGCACATTTTCCTGGGGGGGGATCAGGGTTTTTTTCTCTCTTAGTCTTGGAGGGTGGGCTGTTTGCAGAGATCCCGATTGAGATTAATGGCAATAATCAGAGATTCCTCCCTTTGAATCAGTGAAATGCGGTTTCCAGGGTCTAAAAATCAGATTTTGGGGGCTCAAAGCCACCTTTAGAATTGCATTAATGGTGGGAGACATGGCGGCGACGCATTCTGCAAGCCGTATGAATTAGGGAGAGACGGTACCTGAAGAGAAGGGTCCTGAGCCATGTTTTCTCATGGTCGTCAACCAGGCTCTCGGGGAATCGTGGGCGTGAGGGTTAGAGGTTGACGGTCACCAGCTATTCCAAATCCAGACACTCAGGTTTAGTGTAGACCCGACCTCAGGCAAAATACCGAGAAAAAAATTACAACCGTTATTATTTGCTTGTCCCCGATGGAGCCACTTTAACGGTGGAGAGAGACGGTGTCAAAGGCAAATCTGCCTGGAGACCCTCGGATCACACAGGGGAGACGGCAGTTGACGCTAGGGTCTAGGAATCGGGGGCGCGCAGGTAGACTAGGAGCAGGGGGTGGGCTGCGGTAAGAAAAAGCCCATGTCCTTGCGTATGAGAAGGGAGGGAGAAATGCAGAAAAGGGGGTGTGTGGAGGTGGGGGGGCGGTCTGAGTGCTGGGAATTGGGAATTTGGGGGCAGGGTTCTTTTCATTATTGCGCATGATGGTCGCTGCAAGATTCTGACATGTTGAAGGCGCTTGACTTTTGGTAAATCACCTTTTGCCGTTTCCTTTGTCCCTATCAAGCACCCCCCAGGTCGCCCCCTCCCCATCTTGGGCTGACTGGCTGGCTGGAGGGGGGGGGCGCCAAAGGGCTGCTACGTGGCAGGTTTCTAGAAGGTTCTTTTGATAGCCGCAAGAGGGCGCTGGTGGCACTGCGGAATTTTGGGGGGCGGGGTGGGGAGGGAAGGGGAGGTGGCCTTTGTTCTCCTGCAGGAGGGGGTCTGGCGCGAGACTGACTGCAGGACTGTGGGTTCGTTTACCTAAGGGGAAATATTAGGAAGACCCATGGGTTCACTGAGGCACGCCTGCAAGACTTGCATAGGCCAGAGATGGCGTCATCTGCAGTGGTTGTGTGATTTAGGGTGTCATGGTTGCAGATTAATTTTTTCAGTAATTTTATTTTTCTGGGGGGTCTTAGAAAGGTGTGGCTTTTTGAGGAGGAAGGATTGAGGGGTCTTGAGACGTGGCATGGTAAATGGGGCCAAGGTTTTGGGGAGAAGGGTGTTGGGGGGGAGGCAGAGGGGTCTGCCTTTATTATGCGTCAAAAATGGGTGGGCTGTGTATTGAGAAATGGGCCTTTCAATTTTAATTATGCTTAATTAGATTTACTGGTGGTTAGAAGCGGTTTTCTGTTTTCACTTATCAGATGTAGAATTGTGGTCTGGGGGCGCCCCTTACTGCAGGGTCTCCTTGTTGCTAAGGCTCTTAGGTGCTTGTGTGGGTGCTGCGTCATGTCTGCAAATTGGCTCTGGCTAGTGGCAGCTTGGAGAGACGATGGGGGTGCAGAGAGACCCTGCAAGATGGGCTGGTGTGGGCTATGCCCCCCCTTCAAGCCTGAAACCTGTTGGGCAGCGCCCCCCCCCCCCACTGCTACGTCAGCCTAGCTCTAGCAGCTGCGCCCTGGTGCCAGTAGGGGCGCAGCAGGTGGTTGTGCTATTGGATTCTTGGTGCGGGCCGCGCGCCCCCTAGCGGTCTCTATGTGGAAATGGTTCTTGGCAAGCTAGCCTGGCGCTAGAGTTGCGCATGCGCACTCAGCTAACACTTGTGATCTGTCAATCAACTCATCTGTACCCCTCCCATTGCTGTCCTCCCCTCCCATTTCCCCTCCTTCTTCCCCTCCCATTTCTCCTTTCCCTCTTCCCCCTCCCATTTCCTCTCTCCCTCCTTCCCCCTCCCATTTCTCCTCCCCCTCCCATTTCATCTCTCCCTCTTCCCCCCTCCCTTTCTCCCCTCTCTTCCCCCTCCCATTTCTCTTCTCCGTCCCCCTCCTCCCACCCCTCCTCCCTCCCTCCTCCCTACCTCCTCCCCCTCCCCTACCCATTTTCCTCATTCCTCTTACCCCTCCCATTCCTGTCCCTCCTCCCTGATCCCTTCATGCCCCTCCCTCTTTCCTCCAACCCACCCCCTCCCTTTCCTATCCCTTCACTTACCCCCTCCCTCTCTCTGCTGTTCCTGTGCTGACCAGTAGAGGGCCTCAAGATGGTTTCTAACACCCCCTCCCATGCCATAGGCTCTCTCTTCAGGGATGACATCATCGGCAAGCCCTAGTCTTCAAGGACCACCTTCATTGGATACCAAGCCTGCTGCTCAAGTGACTGTGGCGATACCTGCTGAACATCTCTACCTCCTGGTACACAGCCATTTTCTCAAGTTGCTTGCACATTATATGGCCAGGGGACTCCCCCTGCCCATTTCCCCTGCATCACCCCCAGACCTATTAACCACTGAAGACAATTTAAAATGTTAAATAATTAACTGTAATTATAATTAATTAGCTTAAATTGTAATTACATGCATCTATGCCTGGGCACTTAGTGAGTTCTCTAACCTTTGGTTATTTGCAGAGTCAAGGAGCACGGATTCCTGGAAGCCATCAACATACAGAGCAGACCCCTGTGGACCCCCCAGCAACAAGACATCGAGGGACAAGGGGCAAAGAGGATCAGCAGTGTCCTGCTAGCCCCCCTCTGGGTTCAAACCCTGAACCAAAGCCCTAGTGAGGGGGCATTGGTCATGGCCTTCAACATTTGTTCTGCTTGTGCCTTGAGTTTGACCCTTTCCCTGTCCGTCTCTGCTTGTGTCCATCTGCCAGTGAACTGGAGTGTTTCCCTCCTCAAAGGAGGTCGTCCCTTGTGACTGACCATGCTGTCCTAACAATGTCCTGAGCAGAAGGGTCCCTTTGGGGGCCTCTCAGGAGGGGGGGACCTGGGTCGGGGGCCACCAGCATCGTGCTGGCCACTCTGTGGGTGGGGGCGGGGTGCTTCTGGAATGAGCATGTGGCTGACCCCCCCCCCTTCAAGGCATGTCATGCCCCCTCCACCACCCACCTTCTCGGAGATGTCCCTTCCTCTTGGGTTAATGGACGGTGACATTAGGAGCAACCTCCTAGGGTTGTTGTGAGAATTAAATGAACTAGAACAGCCTGAAGCAGGGCTGGGCAGACGCCCTCAGCACATGTTTGTTGAAAGGTTTGCAGGTGGATCTGTCCCACCCACTCACTGTCTCATCTATTTTCCCGCAGCCCCTGTGCACAGGGCTCTCCCTGCACCAGGCAGAGGGGCTCCTGAAGACAGCAGGCCGTCGGGGAGACTTTGAGTAAGGACTTAAGTCACGTGTGGCAATTACCAGAGCACTTTCTGCGAAACGCGCCCATGCCGTTCCTAAGTAATACGTATACGCAAAGGGCGCGTTGGGGGGCGGGGCACATCTTGTCTAGACAGGAATGAATTGGCGCTGACTGTTCATGATTTTAAAGAGGTAGGTGGGAAAGAGAACTGGGAGGACCCAACCTCACTCGTGGGTTGGACTGAAATTTACACCAAGGACAGTGGAGTATTTTGCCACATTGCTGGCAAAAGAAGGGATCAGAGTTGGACACGGGTGCCACTGTGGCTACCCCCGACGGTCCTCTCCCCTGTCCTCAGCCTAAAGCTCTTCAAAGAGCTCCTTTATTTCGTATCAGACATTTCACAACGGGAAAACGTCTAAACCTAGCTCCCCAAGGGTAGTCTTGGGGAGCTGCTGGGGGAGGGGGCAGCTCAAATCTGGTAAACATGTGTCGACTTCATCTTTTAGTAATGGTTGTGACCTTAAACAAGTCACTTCCAAGTTTCAGTTCCTTTCACACCTTAAGAGAGATTCTAAAAAGGGGTTGGGGGGTTGGAGAAAGGAAAGGAGAAAGGAAAAAGAAAAATGTAAAGAGAAAAGAAAGAAAAAAGAAAGAAAGAAAGAGAAAAGGAAATGAGTTCATCCAACTAGACAGGGAGCTTTTGAAGACCAAATGATGCTAACTCACAAGAAAGTGCTTTGTAAGTTGCCGTGAAATTACAGAACACATACTAGCCAATAAGGCTGTCCCTATTACCCACTGTCCAGTCCTGTTCCCGCTCACAAGAGTGGGCACCCAGTAGGTGCTGGGTGTATTTGTGTTCAATAAATAAATTCCAGGATTAAAAAAAAACAGAATTAATTCAACAAACATTCTGAGATGCTGACCATGCGTGCCCGGCGCACCAGGCTATGGCTGAGGTACGAAGATACCAAGAATGGCCTGTTTTCGAGGCTAATTGGTGCCCTCATTTTACCAGCACTTTCTTTGGTCACCTTTTAAACCAGGCAGTTTTGTCCAGACGAGACAAAAAGAAAAAGAAAGAGAGAAAGAAAACCAACTGGGTTGCTTTAGGGAAGCCCAGCTTGGAGCGGACGACAGTGTCCAGGTCTTTGAAAGGGGCTGATTGGATTATGAGGCAAATGGAGGCAGGAGGAGGACTCGGAAGGTGACAAACGCAGTGGGCGGAGACCCACTCTGAGTTAATTCAGGCTATCAGGAGGGACCCTTCCCATCTTCCAGAGAGGCCAGCGGCTTCCACCACTGCCCGTTCCATCCTTAACGTTCAGCACACACGGATACTGGAGCTACCCTGGCCCTCTCTGGTCCATTCATTTGATGCTCACAACTCCCTGTCCTGATCCAGGGCCGGCCTGCCGTCTCCCAGGGAAGCAGAGGTTGCCAAGTGGTTTCTCCAGTTGGGGCGCCCCCAAACTGTTGTGCTCATGACCTCTTCCATTTTAGCGGTTCCAAGCCTGCACCTTCACTCCAGTCCCCCTCTGGACTCCTGACTCTGCTGTTCCCACCTGGAGCCCCCCTCCCTCCTGTCCCCCTCCCTCGCCACTCCAGTGTATGTCTTTCCTTCACAGCCGGCTTCTCGAGGCCTGTCTACACTCGCTGCTTTCCTTCCTCACCTCCAATTTCCCTTCCAACCCACTGCTTCCTGATTCGCTCTTCTCCATCGAACGGCTCTCGCTCAGGTAAAGACTTTTCTCTAGCTCCGCCCTTGGCACGACTCCAGCCTGGCTGGACACAAGGACACAAACACGCATCTCCATTGCTCCTGTTCCATGGCTTCATGGCTCTGGCTCCCTTCTGTTCCCACATTGCTGGCTTCACGGACACAACCGTTCTCACCTTCCCTGGGAACTTTCATTCCCAGCCCTCTCAATTCCCCAAACCTGCCTCATACCAACAAGCAGCTGGCAGGGCTGTCTAGAGCACTCTGGGGTTGGCCAGTCTGGGCTCAGGTCTTAGGTAAAACACTTCACACTGAGAACATGGGGTAACACAGCTCTTCCAAGCTATGCTGGCTAAAATAGGGTTAATGGCCTTCACCAGGAATGCCAGGTGTGCCTCACCAGGTAAGCCCTAGATACTCTAGCCGAGGGACTGGAGGTAAAATAAATTAGCTATTCCTGAGCAAATGCAATTAGGGTCACAATTAAGTTTGCTTGAAGTTAAGTTCCCACAGAGAAGACCAAAGAGGAGGGGAGGGAGGGGCATTAAAGAGAGCAAAGGCAAGCGGGGAGGGATTTAGAATGTAAAGACCTACCTGAACCTCATCTAGAAAAAGCTTTTCCTCAGCCTGGGTTTAGAAGAGAAAAAAAAAATCAGAAGGAAGCTTTTAAGTTGATTACCCAGTGACAGATGCCAGGAACCTTCCATATCACATCACCCCGTTCAAGGGTTTTGAGTTTCTCCTCTGAGATTCAACCTCTGGACCTCCAGCCCCCTACCAAGGCGCCTCCCTGGACAGGTGCTTAAGTCCTGAAGACACACGAAGGGTCTCGGGGAATGACTAGCCCACAGCGCAGGGCCACCCCTCCCCTCCCCGCAGCCATTTTGTCTGTAGATTTCCCTTCTCGTTGGGGCCTAAGCCTCGGTTCCAGCGCAAGACCCCACTGAATGAGGTTGCAAGCTGAAGGTAGCCACGAGTGGAGGAGCTACGCACACGGTCCACTCTGACCACACACACTGTTCCTTCTCAGTCCCGGGCACGTTCAGTGCCTGGGCTAAAGGCTCTGTGGCTCCGTGGGTCCAGATTAGGTTGCCACCCAGCACAGTAAGCAGCTGTAGCCAGGGGACTAGAATAAAGGCTGAGGCTTCTGAGAGACAGCCTCACACAAGCCTCCCTCCTCACAGTATGGAGTCAGTTGGTATGGCTTCCATGGTCTCCGGGGTCCCTCTCTCAAACATCCATCAATTAGTGAAATAATAGGTCCCTGAAGCCACTTGGGATATCCTAGGAGGTTGGGAGCATTTCAGAATCTAGGGAACCTGCTGAGGGCCTTAGCTCAGTACCTGACAGGCCTGGGTCACTAGGGTTTTGTGTAAGGAACCTCCAAACTTAGCAGCCTCTAACAACTCAAACATGAGTACCCCCACATCCTGGGACCCTCAAGGATATTTCTGTGCTTCAGTGGATACAGAAGCCCCCCCACCACTCCCCACTTTCAGCCCTGGCATCCAGACTGGCTTCAGAATTGGCCCAGAGACCTAGAGCATTCCGGGTGCCTAACGTCTATGGGATCAGTCAGGAAATAGCAGGAGCTGTGGAGATGAGGCCAAGGAAGGGAGGGAGGAGGCAGGAGAAGCCCCGGCCCCCAATCCTTCTGAGAACGACTTTTTCTGCCTTTACTGCCCATCGCCCTCCTCCTCCATTCTCTGTCTCAGCCCCCCCCTCTGTTTGTCTCCCCCCTCTTCCGTGTGGATCAGGCCTTTTGGGGGTGCCCCCTAGGCCACCCCTTCCTCCTCTGGGTGTCCCAGCACCAACCCGGTAAATAGTGGGGCTCAGTAAGAGTATGTGGGATGCATGGTGAGAGGACAGGCGGACGAATGGATGGACTCAACTGTCACACCAGGGCAGCTAGGGCTCAGAGGGTCGAGGGTGGGGGCGGGGGCCCGAGGGACGCGGGAGCAGCCGCCACCTGCTCTAGTCTATGGTTGTGCCCGTGCCCTCGTCCGCGCGTCCACTCTGTCATCCAACAGTTGATCCTAACTGAGCGTGCCCATGGTCCTGGCCCTGGGCTTGGCACCTGCCACCTAGCTTGTCCCTTGATGGCCTCTGCTTCCCAGGGAGGGCAAGCTGGGGGGTTGTCTGGGAGCCAGAGTAGTGGTCTCTGGCTCCGTAGAGGGCATTCAGAGGGCATGGGGTGGGTCTGGTTTGCTGCCCTGCCTTCATGCAGACCTGCCCACCCCCAGGGCCTTGCCCCCCTCTCTGCCCCCCTTCCCATTCATGGCTGAGTATGGTTTACTGCCCCCCCCTCTCCCACCCCACTCCGCCCCCCGCAGCTTAGGGCCTTAGAAAGGAACAGCTGTGATGGTCCCCGGTCCTGGCCACACAGGTCCTCCTCTAGAGTTGATGGGGGTCTGAGGCTTTTGGGCCCTTTCCACAGTGTGTTCCTTCTCTTGGGATGCAGTCCAGTCATTTTGCCCCCCCTGTGGCTGATGACTGTGTCCCATATCAGGATCCCCCCCAGAGAGCATGTGCAGGCCCCCGCCTCTGCCTGGCTAACTCCCTACTCTTCTTTACCTGCTGGTTCTCCCTGCTTCTATGCCCCCCTCCGGGGGGGTTCATCACCCACTTGGCATCTGCTTGCATTGTTTCCCCCCATGTCTCCCTACCAGCCCTTGCCTCAGTCCCGGGGCTCATCCTGCTCCCCCCTTGGCTTTACAGTCTGCCTTTCCTTGCTAAGCCCACAACCTGTGGCTACGCTCGTCCACCTGCTGCCCTTAGCCTTGCCACCACGTCCCCAATCCCACTGTGCCTCCCCAAGTCAGTGTCACCTCAGTTGCCAGCAGCCTCCTGGTGCCTGCTGGACAATCCCTGGCTGGTTCTTCATCTCCGGTGGGACTGATTTCCAGGGTCTGACTGACCAGGGGCTTAAACCAGGTCTATGACTCGGCCTGCTGGTCCTGGAGACCCCTCATCGGCGGCGGCGTTCCCTGGTGGGTGTTGCCCTCATGTGCCACCACTCTGTCTGTCCCCGAGAGTCCATGGCTCTACGGGCTGCTAGGCCCCTTGCTGACCTGGTGTTGTTTCGGGGGCTACTATCCAGGCCTGTTGCGTCTTCCTGTGCCATTTCCTGTTGTGCTCAGGTTCTACGAGCCGCCCATCTCCACGGAAGAGCAGGTGAGGCCGCTGCGTGTCTTCATGCGTGTGAGTACAGGTGGCTTTTCTTTTGTTCACGTTGTTCGCCTTGTAGGAATTCTAATTCTTTGCCTTTCCCCAAAGCTGGAATCACCCATTAGCCATGCTGGCTGAAGAGCAAAGGATGGAGGACCCCAGGACGCCCAGCGCGAGGACCCCAGGACGCCCAGCGCGAGGACCCCAGGACGCCCAGCGCGAGGACCCCAGGACGCCCAGCGCGAGGACCATCACAACAAGCATCGTGCCACCCGCCCGGGTTGGGGTGAGTCTCTTGCGCCGACAAACACAATTTTGTTAGAATTCACTGACACCACATATTCGCTCAAGAAGGAGTACATTTAGTCATCGGAGGGGCACCTTATCAAGCTTTCTACGCCTGGAATCCTGGACTCTGCCTGGAGCCGAGGCTGTCACCGCAAGCGGATGTCCATCCTGGCCACTGTCTAGCAGGGGCCAGAGACGGTAAGTGGGAGGAGGCTACCAGTGGTCTACACTCCTGGGAATGGCCAGGGCAAGACACACAGTAGGCACACAGTCAAACCAACTGACCATGTTTGTGGTATGAATCCACCACCATCTCTAGCCTTTGTCCCATCCCAGCCATGGCAACGCTGTTTCGTGGGACAATTGCTACCTTGCACACACGGGGTTTTGACAATGTCCTCTTAGTGAAATGGCGGTTTTAAGTGAGATTTTCTTTCTTTTCCTCACTCCTGACACTACAATGAGATGGGAATGTTTTTGTTTGTTTAAACGAAATCAGTAATGATGGAGAAGATTAAGAAGTCTTCGTCGTTTGTTTCTTCTTTTGACTCAAGACATATTAGTAGAACTGTTAAAGGCTTAATGTGTGTGTGGGGGGGTGGGTAGGACCATAATTTACACAGAGAACTGGAGGGTCAGGTGATTAGGGCACAAGGTGGCCGGGAGAGGAGGGTTCTCTTGCCTTGTCTCTCATGGGGCAGTCTGGGATACTGGGAGCACTGACTGGGTCCAGGTCTGACCTTGGTCTTGTTGCTGTTCTCTTGATGCCCAGAACAGAGATCCTGGTGCCTGCCTCAAGGCTCCTCCCCACATATCAGACTGCTCGCGGGCCTTGCCTTCCCCATGGTACCTCTGCTTTCGAATGCAGCTTCCATGATACTCTCTCATTAGACAGGATTCACAGATGGTCCCTCTACAGTTCCGCCTTCCTCCCCCGACTTGGAAATGGGATGGGATCTTATTATTAAACAAAAGCTGGCAGTTTGCAAGGGGGGGGCAGCACTCAGGTCTGGCCTTTGACTGGCTGTCTTCCCGCTCGGGAGATCCAGGCAGGCTACAGAGAGGAGGGAGTGTGTGCCTAGGGCACCAGGAAGGCTCTGTCTTGTGACATTTACTCCGTTGCTGGCATTTACTGAGAGACCTGCAAACATGGTGACGTTGCTAGCGAGGAGGGATGGGAGGGGAGCTTGGCTCAGGGCAGGATGCTGGCTCCCAGGGGCATCAAATCCTGAGCTTAGACAAAGCCATTGGGTAGCTGCACCGAGCTGAGCCAGGGGCTTGAGGTTCTGGTCCTGTTCATTAGGGACAGCCCAGAACTTCTGAGGTAGACTAAGCCAAGGGGTTAGGCTAGGTTAAGGTGATGCCAAATAGACCCACCCACGAGACCAATATGCTCCCTCATCTCAGAAGACTCTGCAGCCAGCCTCACATACCCTGCCAGGAGTCCCGAATAAGGCTTTATATGAAGGTACATTGTGACTGATGTTATAGAGACTGTGGAAACTAAATCCCAGGCAGATACAGCTTTTGGAGGTTTTGTATGTCATCAGGGTAAAAAAATAAAAAGAGTATACGAGGTTCTCAATTAATATAAACCACAGCCTCCCAGATTAGAGTCTTAGGCACTGCTGAGATGTTGGTACTTTGAGAAGGAATGGCTTTTATCAGGGCAATCCCTGAGCAATAAGGGTTGGAAATGAGGTCTTAGCTGCCAAGAGAGCAGACCTTGTCATCTAGTGGAAAAAAGGGAGGTGGTCTCTGATCAATTGTAATGGTAATAGGCAGTTAGCTACCCAGTCCCCTCTAACTTGGTGTCCCACATAGGCAGACTAATGGGAAAGATAGTGGTTTCTTGTGGGGGTCTCTTTCCATCCACCCCGGGGTGGGCAGGAAAGGGACAGGAAAGGATGCCAGAGTTGAGCTGAGATTTCTTGTGCAGGGGCTGCCCTGGCCTCTGCATTCCCACCTGCAAAGCTGCTCGCTGTCGTTTTTTTCAGGGCCCCTGATATGTGTGATTCAAAGTCCATATGCATTCTAAAGTACATTTCTCCAGATGATGTCAAAACCTGGCAAGGCTTAAGGGCAACAGGACACATATGTTTCTTATTCGTTCATTTACATGAAGTAACTTAAATTTTTCTTTATGAGCAATCTGACTTCTTAAAAGGAAAAAAAAAGAGAAAAAAAAACCCGAGGAAAAAAATCCCTAATCCCCAAACAAACAATAATAACAAAAAAACCCAAACCAATCCTCCCATCTTTTAATGAGCTGACTAATGAAGAGGAAGGGTGTGTAGAGGGAGGCAATTAGGATCCTCAAGGGTTAAAGGGCAGTCGACAATGGGGAGGCCAAGCTGGCCGAGCTGGGGTGGGGGCAGTTGTGCGGGGAGTGGTTCCTTCTCAGGAGACTGGAATTTAACAGGCTGTGAACGAGTCCCCAGGGGCAGCCCCCTCCTCTCGTGCTTTCCTCCCAGACAAAGGAAGAAGGGAGTAGGGCTCGGGTCCCCCATCCCTGCTTGGGGAAGATGGAAGATTCTAGGAGCACTGGGTCTTTCAGAGTGGGACTAAATCCAAGCACAGGGTCTCTGAAGGGGAGAGACATTGGGAGCCGCTCATGGGCACCTCAGGCTCCCCAGGCTTCTGAGGACAGGGGTGTCGCACGGCGTGGATTCCACTGTGGCACAGAAAAATCAGAGTCAGGTGGGAGTTAGGGGATGCCTTGTGCCCGAGCAATGAGGAGCCTCTGGTGTTTCCTCCTGGGCACCCGGAAACACAGAAACAGGGCTACGGAGTAGAAGAGCGTCAGGACACGGGTCCTGGGCTTTCATCTTTGATGTGGAGTGTCCAATGTTTCCCCGGATTCTCTAGCCCTGAGGACAGTGTTTAGGGCCTGCCTCTTTGCTCCGGAGTCTGGTCACTTTAGCCAGGCTTCTCGGAGGCATTGTCCATATTTGTTTTCTCAGCTCCCTTCATTCCTAAGTCCTGTGTGTGTGTGTGTGTGTGTGTGTGTGTGTGTGTGTGTGTGTGTGTGTGTGTGTGGTGTGTGTCGGGCAGGTGTCAGGTGATGGAGGCCAGTGCCGGCCCCCCCCCCAACTCCAGCAGGATGTGTGTGGGAGAGGAATTAATTAAGGCGAGAACTGAGGTGGAGGGTACTTTGACTTCCTTAATTGCTCTCTAGTTTCTTTGGACTTAAGAGAAAACTGCAGATGGTGAGGTCTTCCCTCCCCTAGCCTGGGAGTGGGGCGGGGCACTGGCTCCCCACCACCTTGAGCTGGCCTTCTCTTCTCTCAGTGAATAGGGCCTTTGGCTAGGGCTTAAGGAGGAGACTCTTAGCCTGGGAGCTCCCAGGCCGCTGCAGCTGGAAACAAAAGCTCCGGCAGAAAGGAATGTGGGGGAGCCCTGTAGAGCACAGCCACCTGGGGATAATTGGGAGAGCCAGCTCCGATGAGTTTCCCAGGTCCTGTGAATGCCTCCTGTCAATGGAAGGTGCCCTTTCTTCAAATGAAAAGAAAACCTCAATTACCTACCCGGCAGGCACGGAGTGTGTGTGTGTTCCCTGGGGGGCTGTGTGGGGCCCCTGGCTCTGTCTGTCTGTGTGTCCGAGCGCGGGTGCGCGCTCTCTCGTGCGCGCCTGTGCATGTACACTGGACCGAAGAGCAGACCCCTGCAGCATCATAATGACCCAAGTAGCCAGCCACCCACTCTCTGACCCTGGGGACCCTTGAGCTTGCCCATCCCTGGGCTAGATTTGTCTAAGTTTCCTGGGATAGAAGAATAGGATAACTACAGGCAAGAATTTGACCACATTGGGCCCAATGCCCAAAGGATGCTTTAGAGACAGAATGGGGCCAAGGGACAGAACTCTGAACGGAAAGTTGGGGAAGGAGGACAGTGGAAGGGCCAAAGACTGAGCACTGTCTTCAGTGGCCCCCAGGGACCACAGCTGTGTGGCTTTTTTTGTCTTCAGCTCGGTCTCTGGGTTGTCCCGCACGTGGATAGACAGCCATCCCCCCCACGGTTAGGAAACTGAGGGCAGGGGTCTTAAATTGAGTTGGGGCATGGTGGGTGTCTACAGAAGACGCAACCTCCCCTGCCAGGAGCCATTCCACTATTGCCCTAGAGTAGCTAAAGACAAAAGTCCCTGCGAGGAGGAGTCTTTGTTCTCGGTTATGGCCAGTGTCTTTGCGACTGCTGGCCTCTGAGCCTCAGTTCTCTGCCTGTAAAATGAGACCAAGTGTACCCATTCTGTAATCAGCAGGTGTATTGGTAGTAGGCAGGTGCAGTGCCTGTTTGACCAGAGAAGGGAATGCAGAGGTCCATGGCTGGCCACTTTGTATCCCCATTAGATCCTGTAGACCACCCTCCGGTCCTTAGGACAGAGCTCAGAAGGGATGTCTGAATCCAGCCCCTTGTCTGTCCTGCCTATGGATGTGACTGACCCCAGTCTTGGCCTTCAGCCCCCAGGATCATCGCTTCTCCATCCTTACGATGGAAAGTGCAGGCCTGCCGTTGTGTGAGACCTTCGGAATTAAGTGCAGGAGTGCTGCGTCTGTGGCACACTAGGGTCCTTGGTGGCCTCAGGGCTATTGTCCCCTGCTTCAGAGATGAAGGGGCTGGAGACTGCAGAGGGTCAGAGTCTCACTCCACTCACTTGGCTGCAACCCTGGGTGCAGGGAGGGGTCCTGACAATGGGGTTCTGAGTGACTGGTGTGGTCACAGGGTTTTAGACCTTAGCTAGTTCCTCACTGACAGCGTTTGGAGATCATAGATTTTAGTGGAGGCCATTGCTTGGGCTAGAGGAAGGTCCCTAGGGCTGCCTCACATGCTGTGGTGAAGGGATTACCCGCTGCAGGGAATTATTCAAACAAACATGCCCCAGGCCAGGTTGGGAGATCCTTTTCTGGGCCAGAGAGTATCCCTTGTATAGTGAGATTAGACCCATGGCTTTCCGGGCAGGAGGGTGTGTCCCAGTGGCGCTGTCCCAAGTGCCTCATTGTGTACCCTTTGGTCAAGAGGCACTTGGCATCACCCCTGTTGGCACCTTGGCCCACTCATGGAAGAACTTCTTGCAGAAGTCACCAAGGTAGCAAATTGTGAAAAAGTGAGCAGTACCCACCGGCTGCCACCCCCTTGCGCGCCCCTCTGTCTGTCTCTGGGCCTCAGTGTGGTAATCAGCAGCCCCCAGACCTCTGGCAGTCTGCACCCGTTATTACCATGGTGGACTGCAGCTTTTGTTTTGTGACCTTGGTTGCTACAATACCTGCGAGCTGAAATAAGGAATCAAAACATTGCCAGCTTCAATTAGACTGGCAGACTGTGTTCCCAAGGCTGCCTCAGCCTCTCTATCCATTAAGGGTAAACATGTACCAAATAGGTCCTAATTCTCTCTAATTGCCCACTCCTGAAGCAAAGAGGTGAAATTCCAGGAAGAGGCATATATAAACATCCTCTGTAACCCGACCAACGAAAATTAGGGGGCTGATGGGGGCCCAGCGCAGAGAAAGGAACATGGCTTCAAAAGATGTCCCAATTACCTCTCCCATTTTCATAAATGGGCCCGTAATGTCCAGGGCCTGGGTCTCAACAAAGGTACAGGAAATGAGCTCTGCAAAGAGCTTACATTTATCAGGGGAACTTGTAAGAGGCTAGTATTTTCTCAACAGGTAGGGAGCAGGGAAGGCCGATCATTTGTGTAACTGCAGACTCTTTTTCTTGAAATCAACATTTTAGTAAAAATAGTCTTTTGACGTTGTTCTCTGTTTGAAACATCAGTAAGATGTTTGTACCAAAGACAAGCTAGATCAATTAGGTCCTGCGTGCCTCCGGAAGAAAGAAACTTTTCAAAATAAAACCTCAAGATGCAGAGCTGGAATGCTCTAACCCTGTTTAAGCCGTGGGGGCTACTCTTAGGGCGCCCACCACCACTCTCTCCGTGTATCATGAGCTCAGTGCCTTCACTTAAGAGGTTTTCCATCAAATGCTTGTGACAATGGTTCCTGCGGACTCTATAAGGTCTTCTTTTTCCCTTTGGCTCCAGACAGTGACTCATCTCTGCAGCTTTTGTGACATTTGTTAAGATTCCAGCCCCGCACTGCGTTATTAATGTATCATGCAGACCTGGAGCTGGTACACGCAGCTTTTAAACCAAGGCATGACTTTGCAGGGTTTACGTGCTAGCATAGCAGCCTGGGGTCTGCAATGCCGAGTTCATTAAGGACAGTCAGGCGCACTGAGAGTCCGCAGGGGCTTGAGGAGAGGCAGGAAAAAACCCAGATGCCCTGGGCTGCTTCTGATTACAAAATAGACTAAAACAGAAGGAGCAGGGCAAAGGCTCCAACTCGTATTCCTGCAAGGAAACAGCAGCGTCTGTGGTCTTGCTGTGTGTTCTTGGTCTGGAGTCTCATTGTCACCTAGGGACCTTGGTTATGATGAGTGGCCACCCCAGGCATGCAGGGCTCATTGGAAGAGGGATGTTCAGTATGTAGCTGGTGGCCCTGAGCTGTTGGATAGCCAGATAGTCCCAGGGTCACCCAAATCTTGTAGTCGCCTCATGAACACTTGTTTTTAAGTCACAGAATCAAGCAGTTAGGGGAGGGTTGTGTTTGGGGAGCACAAGACAGACAAGGGGTTTGCAGGAGGCTTTGAAATAAGAGGTACATTCTCACTGTGCCCTGGCATGGTTTGGGGTGCCTCAGTCAGAGACCTGTCTGGGAACGGGGCGGGGAAGGGGGGGCGTGAGGGTAGAAGAACCTGTCTCTGGAGGCTGAAGTAAGGCTTAGGGGAGGAGTGGCAGTGTTTCTTCCTTCCCTCAAGGTCCTTGGAGGGCCAGCAGCACATGTATCTGGCAGCATGCACCAGGTGTCCAAGCTCCTATGGTTCTGAGTTTCCCAGTCTGTGACATCCTAGAGCCCCTGCCATACTCACAACTCCTGGTTGTCTTTCTAGCTCCCGGTGACACCCAGCCTCCCCCATTCATCCCTCCGTGTCACTTGCTCCCATGTATCTCAAAGACAGTCCCCAAAGGGGTTTGGAACACACCTGTTCACTCTCCTGCTCCTATCCTGACACCCACTCCCAGCAACGGGAGACTGACTCCCCTTTGTCACATTATTTTACCTTTACTGGAATCTAGTAACACATTTAAAAGATTAACTTATTTCAAACATGACTTTTTTTTTTTCTTTTTTAACAAGTCATTTTTTTTTCTGAAGCAGTTTTGAGTTTGTAGGGGAAAAAATCAATCAAGGCAGTGAGTATGGGGGCCGGGAGGTCACCCTATCTGCAGACTGCTTGACCAGCATTTGGGTTCTACACTTCAGGCCCCAGCACAACAGGAAGCCATGTGCACATGCCTGTAATCTCAGCACTTAGAAGGCAGAGGCAGAGGCAAGATGGTCAGAGGTTCAAGGCCATTTTTTTTAAATGAAATAGCAAGTTTGAGGCTGGCCTAGTTTACATGAGTACCTATCTTAAAAATAAAATTAAAAAAAAAAGACAGAGGGGAAAACACACCCAATCACCCTTCTCATTTCACTAACATCTTGTGTTTACCTGGCGCATCTGTTATCAGCTGTGGCAATACTGTCACGCGAATAGTATTCTGAGTCCATGTCATGAGGCTGGCTTCAGAGCGTCCTTTCTGTGGGCTCTGGTTGTCTAGTGACATTTGTTTTCATTGTGTACCTCACGCTTTTACCCTGAGTTTGAGGCAAATCCTGGGCTTGTAACGATTTGGTGTGCACGTTGCGTGGCGTTGTGTGGAAGTGGCCACCCAGTTACCACACAGGTCACCTGTCATCCATGATGTGTGTGCCTTGGTTTTCCAAGACACTGCCCACTGAAAACCATGCTGGATTTCTGACAGCACCCTCCCTTGCCTCGTGACCAAAGCCCTCTCTATCCAGTTTGGCCTGTCATGAGTCTTACTGGCCCATTGTCTCGTTACAGGGCCCAACCTGTGACCTACCTTCAGGGTGTTTTCAATGTTCTGTCTACCAGGCTGCAACACTTAGGTATCAGTTTGCTTCTTATAGGTACAGTGGCCCTAAAGTTTTGTTTCCCAGATAGCAGCCCTTAGCCTACCATGTCATTTAGTACCAGGGTTCTTGGTGCCTGTCCCATATATACATAGGTAAGAGGACAAGCGTGGAATGAGTGGGTTGAATGGACACATTTGCTTTCATGGACTTCAAATTTGTGGCGGCCTAGACAGTCCCTGCTGTAAGCCACCCTTTCATCCTGCATAGGTGTCACCCTCTGCCATGCACCTTCTCGTACTTCCTGACCTGGGTAGGGTTCTGTCCTGTGACTGCAAGCTTTCTGCTTCTAGCCCAAGTCATCACCCAGAATCCTGCGTGGGACCCTGGACACACGGACGACGGACACATGCCCCAGGACCGTCCAACTGTAAATCGTAAGTTGCTAGAGTACAGCAAGCATACTTGTGGCCGTTGGGGTGGGGGTTCCGCCCGAAGTCTCCTGTCAGACAAGCTGCAGCCAGCCCGTGCAGATGGGGGGGTTGCCCAGTGAGCCTCGTCGAGGGCTGACCTGGCGCTTGTGCTCTAAGATGGGAGCCTCCGTCCGCCTGTGTTGTCTCTGTCTCAGAAGAATTCTATAGGCAGCTTCAAGTGTGGGACCCCCAGAGAATTTCTTCTTTTTCACTCTTCCAAATGAATGGGCCTTTCATTGTGACATCTCCCTCTGGCTCTTGTACTGACTAGGATGGAAGTGCTCTTGTGACTTGGGGGCTTCAAAGGGATGAGGAGAAAATGCAGACCGAGGGACCAGCTTCTCAAATAGGCTTCAAGCCTCCATGACCTGAGCTCACCCCCTGAAAATGTCTGGAAAACATAATGGGCAGGTTTTCTGTCTTCAAAGTTTCCATCGAAACCTCTTCAAGTTCTTTATTGTTTGGGACTGAGACACTTGGGGACGGTAATGGGGACTTTCTTTTGTATCTGTCTTGAAAGGCCAAAATATTTTTATATTGCTGTAGACAAAGCCTCCTATTTACAAATGAACTCTGTTCTGTCGTTTCCCACCAGGAAGACTGTACTATGTTTGTGTCTCTATGTATTCTGGGGTCTTGAAACAGGTTTCTCATGGGGATGGCCATTCACTGGGGCCCAGAGGGGCAGAGGGGGGGAAGTGTCTACCCTGCCAAGGGGGGTCTGGGGAAGGGGGGGTGGACGCCCTAGTCTCGGGTCTGTCCTTTGTATGTCTAGGGGTGAGCCCTGGGAGAATCTGGTAGTAAAAGAACATATGCTGTGTTTTCCCCACATCTGCCATTTGTGGTGTTTGTTTCTGCGCTGAGGGTTTGCATACTCTGCTGGTTAACGCCATGGGAGGAAGCAGGAAGGGACCAAGAGGGTCCGGTTTGCTTGCCTGGAGGCTGTTTCATTGGTGTGTGTTACATCACATAGTAAATGTTTAGATGGGCGGGAGAGAGAAGCAGGCTAGAAGCGAAGTGAGCGAGTTGGGATGGGTGCCTAGGCGATCAGCAAAATGCCAAGCCCGGAGGTGTGTAGGGCCACGTGCAAACTGGTGTTGGGTCGTCTGGGACCTAAGAGATTTTTCATTAAGGAAGGGATCCCAAATCAAAAAGACGGAAGGAGAAGCTAGATTGTCTAAACCAAAGGTGAGGTTCCGAGGCCCCTTGATGTGAGCAGAGGGGTGACGGCTTGAGCAAAGAAAGAAGCAGGAGAGAGAGAGAAAACAAACAAAACTGATAAACAACACAAACAATAAAGGGAGGGAGGGGGTGTGCTGCCGTGCGGGGAGAACCCAGCCGGGTCAGGGAACCTCAGGGTTAGTTAACCTCAGCTGGGCACCCTGGCTCTTTGGGGGCGAGGGGCAGCAAGTGAGAAAACGGGGGGGGCACGGAGAAAGCGGTCAGCATAGAGACGCGAAAGGAAAAAGAAAGTTCATTAAGCAGATGAGTGGCTTCGAGGGAGGGCTGAGCTAGGATTCCAAATCCGAACACTTACCACTCCTGGCTGCTGCTTACATAATGGAAGAAAGGGAGCAGGGAGAAAGGGTAGCCGAGTGAATGCATGAATGGGAGAAAGAGGTAGGGAGCTGGGTGGGCCACTGAAGGACGCTTTCAGGTGACCCTCTTGTCCACCAGCCTGTGCAGCTGAGAGAGACAATCGGGCGGCGGGGAGGGAAAGAGATGCAAATTCTGTCTCCAAAAGGAGAAAGGTAATCATGTGCCCACAGATAGGTATATGAATACAGCTAGAGGGGAGAGCCCCACGAGGGACAGGACGAGAGACCGCGCTAGCAGACTGGTTAATTCCCATCTGTGTTTCTGAGATGGACAATGACCCACCCGACCAAGAGACCTTTCAGGCATCAATATGTCAGGGAGGGCTTCAATGGGGCGATGGAGGGGAGGCCCATTAATAGCAGATTATGATGTATCCAATTAGGTGCACCTGCCCTCTGAACGTGTAGAGACCAGTATTGAAATAGAAAGAAAGACTGAATGGATGCCTGAGTGCACGAATGAATGAATGAGAAAAAAAGCTTTGCATTCACTCTGAGGGGGAGGGTGCTGCAGAGCCCAAGGGTCATCTGATCTCCGGGAGAATAAAAGGGGGAAAGAGTGGAGAAAGTAACAATAAGATGAGGGGAAAAAATGAAAAGACGTGCAGAAGATAATAAGCGGGACAATTAAGCCTAGGAGAGAGGGCTTGTTTAACACAAGTCATCCATATTAATTCAAAATTGGGGCCCTGGGCTGGGGTGGAGCTCAGGGATGGGTCTGTTGCCTAGCATGCGCAGGGCTCTGTGTTCCATCCCAGCCCTGCAAAACAAACACAAAGGACAAGAGTATGGCTGAGAGGTTGTAAATGATGCTGCTGCCAATAATGACGAGGGAGACGGAACAAAGAGCCAGACACATTAGGAGGTGGAGAGAAGGAAGATGTAGGGAAAAAATCTAGGTGGATGGACACATAGGAGATAAGTATTTAAATAGGACGGATGCATTTTATCTGTTGAGTGCATTAAGTAATAGGAGTGGAGGCTTATCCGTAAAAGAACAAATATTGAAAAGGAACAAGTTGAGGAGGGGCCATGAAAAAAACACGAGCCAGAAGTGATGGCTTTAATCACTACTGCACTCCTGCTCTGTAAGGGCAAAGATGTGCAGAGGAGTACAGAAATAAGACGGTCCAGACAGGCACAATGAAAAGGCTGAGGACATAAATGAATATACATGGAGACGTGTGCCCGAGAGGGCCAAGCGGGGACAAGAGAGTCAGAGAACAGCAAGAATTATGATTAATTCAGAACGGGGCTTCTGAGATGGCTAAATGTCTCCCGAACCAAAGCACCAGCACAAGGAATTAGGGGACAAAAGGGCTGCGGGCAGATCCGGGTGGAGAAGGCTTGGGACCCTCAGATCATGCTTAATCTAAATCTGTGCACCTGAGGTCCATAAATAAAAGAATAAATATTGAAATAAAAGAGTGACAGGAGGAATGAATGGACGCACGAATGACTGAATTAGAAATGGAAATGGCTAGAGCGGCCAGGAAGGAGTTGCCCATGGGAGTTTCGCTCATCTTATTGTGGGCACCTGAGGTCCCTTAGTAAAGAGATGCAAGGTGGAAGGAGAGAAGGGAGAAGGCAGCGAGGGAAAATGAAAGAGGAGGAAATGAGAAACTGGCCAGGGAGGAAGCAATATGTGGCTCCCTCATAAGAGAAAGATCTGTGAGGATTAGTGATGAGGGTCTCATTAATCCTAAAGACCGAGGAGGTAATCCAGACCCAGGTTCTTATGGGCAGGGAGGATGGAGAGAATTAAAAAAAAAAGGCAAAAAGGAAAGAAAGATAATAAAACAAGCAGCATGATAAATGGGTAATTAAGAGAGGCTGTCTGAACAGAAATAGTAATGAGTTCCCTTGCATAGTCCTTAAACAGATAAATACATTATACCTTTCAAAGAATGCGTGAAAAATCGAAGAACGCTATGGCCCCCAAACAAGGAAACCCCTTCCACTGTAATAAAATACATGCAGTGGAAGGCCATAAATAACAGTAAATACTTAAATGTAAAAGCTGACCAGGCACAGGGAAGAAGTCTGCAAAGCACAGATCTTGGAGGGAGACAGTGTTTGTTTTGTGCGTGGGATTTTGAATAATGCAATTATGTTCCCAGGAAATTAATAGGTTAATAAAGATTCAAACCAAGACCCAGGAAGGACAAGGAAAGGAAGAGAGATACGGTGGGCAGGGTGAAAGCTTGGGGTGGGCTTGACATGCCCCGTTACATTCTGCACACGAGGGTTTATAAAAATGAGACTATCAGGAGAGAGCAGAGAGCCCAGGGACAAACAGGAACGGAATGAAAACCTGGGGAAAAGGAGGGGGGACCGCGCAAGGAGGGGGCTTCCAGGAGCTGAGGGTTATGGTTCATTTAAAGCTGTGTCATTATGCCCCCAAAGGAACCAGATCTCAGTGAAGGCTTTTGTGAGTGAGGAGCAGATGACAGGAATATAGACGGACAGGGAGGAGGTTGTATGTGCTGTTCACTGATTGGTAATGAGTGGCCGTTGTCCAGCCAGAGCCTAACTGGCTGGGAGCAGCTATCTGAGGAAGATCTTAGACCACCATTGGCACTTCCTAGTTGTGTGGGCCATTTCATTGTCTGTCACGTCCTCCATCCGAAGAAGATACATCCTTGCACAGTGCCCTACCCAGAGATAGGTGGGAAGGGTTTAGGTCCATGCCCTGTAGATGAATGCTAAACCCAGTGGGTGACGTGACCCCTTTCTGGGCAAGGGTCTCTTTGTGAGCTTTCTGTGAGGGGACCAAGAGGCAGGAGGAGGTCAGGGGGCAGGAGGCCTTGCCTGCCACATGCCATCTTGGGTGTGAGTGACATCTGGGGTCTGGTGCAGTGGGGTGAGGGTGACCTGGAAGCCCCGAGACCCGAGAAGCAGTAGGATGCTTGTTCTCACGGCTCTCTTGAGATGCACCCAGGTGGGCACTAGCCAGCCCATCTCAGCTCAGAGTTCTAAGCAGGCGTACCTCAGTCTGGGCTTCCTAGAGATGATCCTGGGTCCCAGCCCCTAGACATGCCACCCCTGGAGCCCGTTTCAAGGCCTGTCTTCTAGAATGTTTACAGATATGTTCTGTAACCAGGAAAAAAACGCGTTTGTACGGTGTGTTGAAACTGTCTTCTTGCTCGCCCCCTTGGGCTGTGTGGGGAGACTTGGAGAGCTGTTTATTCTGGTGCACCCCCCTGTCCATTTTTCCTTCCCTGTTATGGACAAGATTTTTGCAGTTGTGTGTTGTGTACCTGTGTCTGTGCATTAAAAGAGTCACAGTATCCCTTGGCTTCTCAATTTCTATTGGGGGCATGAAAAATAAAAACCGATTCTTACTAAGAGCCCAAGCAGGAGAGGAATAGCTTGGCTGGATCCAGGGAGCATGTGCAGACCTGGGAACAGGGTGGACTAGTGGGTTATGGCAAGGCAGGGGTGGGGGTGGGGGCTCGGTGAGAGTCATGCCCGCCCAGGCCCATCAGAAAGAAGGCATGACAGGTGGGGTGGGTGGGGCTCCTGCTACACCTGAGTTGCTGGAGGTCTGAGACGCCATCAAGGAAGAGGGGCCCCAGGGCTAAGACTTTCCCTCAAGTTGTTAGGATTGCAGGCAGGATATGCTGGAGGCAGCTGGCTGAAGAAGAAAGATGGGCACTCCTCCCTACGCTTCTAGTTTCAAGCTTTTAGTGTAGGCCCCGGATAGATGGCAACCACCTCCCACGGACTTCACGTGTCAGAAGCCACCTTCTGTGCCCCCAGCACCACGTGTCTGGGCCACGTGAGCAACGCCACGTGGGCCTGACGTGGAGCTGGGGCCGCAGGGGTCTGTTGGCCTGCTCTTTCAGAGTCTGGGCTCCAGGCTCTGCCTCGGCGCTTATCAACCCTGGGAACATCTGCTGACCTGGTCCCTGAAGATGGTCCAGACAAGCCTGAGTGACCCTGTGAGATGAAGAGGGGTGGGTGGAGACGCTCAGGAGGAAAAGGCCTGGGGATTCATTGTACGGGACTCCCGTGTAGGTGCTAGAGAGTTGGGCATGGCTGGGAGAGGGCAGGCATGGGGGTTGGGTGAGGAGGAGAAGGGCATGGCCGCATAGGGGTTGTGGGTGGGAAGACAGTGACATTGGGCAGCATGCGAGTGGGTGTCTAGGTGTCTAGGTGGGCCTTGTCTCAACATTCTTGCTAGGAGCTTGGAGGGGGCAAACTGGGCTACTTTGGGCCCATGGGACCCGTTGATGCCCTGGAGAGCATGAGGGCTTGGGTAGGTGACTTGCTGTGTCACCTTGGGACTAATGAAGGGGAGATCTGGCTGTTTTGAGTCTTTGACTCTTAATCGGCTCTGGAATTCCAAATGTCTCTAGTTCTGGGGTTTCGTGACTCAGAGTAGGGCTCCCCAGGATACAGCATATGTGTGGGGAGGGTGGTCTGCATGTGCTCCCAAGTTGGACTCCCAGCATCTCTGCCTGTTCAGGGCTACCTTAGACGTATTTATTTCTTCCAACATGATAAAACAAGGCAAATTTTCTCTTCCGATTGACATTCATGTGCAGTACACAAAGTCCTTTCCCTGATGATATGGGGACCTACAGCTCTCCTTGGCTCCCCCACAACTCCCAGCCCATCCTTGGGGCAAGTGGGTCAAAGCCCCTGATGTTTTTCTGAGTTGAAGGTGTCAATGTAAAGTTGTGTGACTCAGAGCAGGGGGAAGTGCATCCCCAGGTCTTCCCTTCATGTGCTCCATCTTTCTTTCTGCTTCCAAAATTGTTTTTTTCTTTTAATGACCATCCACTTTTAAAGGCCTCATTGACATTGTCCACTTTTTGTTGTTTCCTGTCCGTTGCAATGAACATCTTGTTGTCCATGCTTTCTTTGCTTCATAGTCTCTCTCACTCCCTGCTTGGGGGTCCACCGAATGGCTTTGGCATCTCGGTCTACCCATCTGACTGTTGCTGGTGCATGGCCATCTTTTTTTTTTTTAAATTACAAATGGCATCACAGCTAAAGGCTTTGCATGAGCAGCTTTTCCAGCCTTTCCAAGAACTTCCCTACATCTATCTAGTTCTTCCCATGGCCTCTGTCTTTTCATGTCACATCCTTCTGCTAGACTGTGAGCCCATTCAGGGCAAGGAACTTGTGGGACTGACCTGTATCCCTTGTAGGATGTATATGAATGCTTGCTGGGTGTGTATGGAAGGGTAGATAGGTATGGGTGACAGAGTGACTGAGCAGTCGGCAGGCCGATGAGAGGACAGATGAGTGGATTAGTGAATGAATGAATGAATGAATGAATGAAGAGTGAGTGAATGAATGGATTCTGTGTGACTGAGCTTCCTGGGTGAAAGGTTAGGGGTGTTCGTGTGACTGTTGATTGATTTCAGGAGGCCCATATTATTTTGTCATGTCCAATGATGTATTAGTATTTCTCTGTAAAAGTATGATTTCTAATGTGTTTTAAAACTTGTTCTAATTACTAATGAAATGAAGGCTGAATATTTTTCACCCATGTTTGTTAACATATTGTATCTTAATCTTCTGTGAACTGTTTGTCCAAGTCCAGTGGGTCACGGCTTCCTAAGGAGATCCATCAGGGTACCCATAGATCAGGTGGGGGGCTCTGTGTCGCCATTGGGAGGGGCTATTTCATAGACATCTTCAGAGTGATGTGAGGAGGCCCAGTTGACCTTCCAGGTCAGTTTGACTTATTTACTTATTCTGGGAAATAGAGTTATATCTCCCACCAGCATGTAGGGGACATTTTTAGGCTTGCATCTGGGCGCACCATGCCTTTTACAGCTTAGGAGCCCCAATCCTACACAGTATCTCTTGTGGCTTAGCAGTCCTATATCTTGTCCTGCCTTCCTGCCTGTCCTCCTATTCTTCTAGTGTGCAGACCTGGGAACCAGTCCTTACAGGAACTGGGTCCTTACTGCTCTGTGATGTGTCTGCAAACGTCTCTTAGCTCTAGCCTGCACTTGAGCCTCAATGGCAGTTGTAGAATTTCAGGAATGAATGGGAAATTCAGTTAAGGACTGATATGAGCTGCCTCAGGTTTAGTCCTGGGAGCAAGGCCATCCTGTGGTCTCTGCTCCTCTCCTTATGACCTCCTCACAGGGCAGTGAATACCATTTGGGTAGGGGGTGTACTCAAGCAGAGCTCCTCCCTACTTTCTGGAATACTCTCCCAACTCTCTACTATAGCACTTAGCATGTCTGCCTGTGTTCAACCCTCTCACCCCATGCTTACCTCAACATAAAGCTTTGGAAGCCCGTGGTGATTTTTCAACATGACTTTAATCCATCCACCCATCCATCCATCCATCCACCCACCCATCCATGCATCCATCCATGCATCCATCCATCCATCCGTCCATCATCCATCCATCCATCCACCCACCCATCCATGCATCCATCCACCCATCCATCCATCCACCCATCCACCCACCCATCCATCCATCCACCCACCCATCCATCCACCCATCCACCCATCCACCCATTCATCCACCCATCCACCCACCCACCCACCCACCCATCCATCCATTCATCCACCCATCCACCCACCCACCCACCCATCCACCCATCCACCCATCCATCCATCCACCCATCCACCCATCCACCCATTCATCCACCCATCCACCCACCCACCCACCCATCCATCCATCCATCCATCCATCCATCCATCCATCCATCCATCCACCCACCCATCCACCCACCCACCCACCCATCCATCCATCCATCCATCCACCCACCCATCCACCCACCCATCCACCCACCCACCCACCCATCCATCCATCCATCCATCCATGCATTGGGCCTCCATCTCTTGACCTAGTGCTTTGGGCCTCTCCCTTTCCTGAAAGCAAACCCTTCCACCCTGGGCAAGCTGTGTGGCACCATGGGCTGTGGTCATGAAGCACCCCTCCCCCCACTTCGTAGCCTCCAACTCCTAGGTCACTGCTCCGAGCACGTCCCAGCTGGATCTCATTACCACAGCTTTTCCTCCATGATGCTTCTCACACTTCACACACGTCTACTGTGATCCCGGAGGGTCAGGTTCCCAGAGTGGCCTGGGGCCGGCCCTTCCCACCATAAGCAGAGCTGCCTCCCCAGACTTCATCCTGATTGGTGCGTGGTCCCTGTCCTGAGCTTTGCCTTCAGCCTTGCAGCCTCCTCCACCAGATGGCAGTGGTTGTAGCTTGTGTGCGCATTTGTTCACTCCTTCATTCATTCTTATAGTCAGCAAGCATTTAAAAAAAAACTAGCTAGTGCTATACTAGAGCTGGCTCCGCTTCTGACAGAAAAGATGGGGGCGTTCACAAGGAAGCCGTGCTTGTGTGTGCAATACGGCGAGCTCCTCGATTTCAACTCAGGCCTGAGTTCTGTTGCGAGGCTGATTGCTTTCTCCAACTTCGTTCTTCACAAAACTAGGTTGATTAGTAATCAGCAAACTGTGTTCCCTGGCTGCTCAGAAATCATAGCCGATATCCTCGAGAGGCCCAACAGGGAGTGGGCATGTGCGCTAAGCAGCCAGTCCTGACTGCGAGCAGGCTTTCAAGGCTGCGAGACACCCCGATCTTCTGCAGGGGTGATCTGAGAGTCGTTCTGGCCACTTTTGAGCTCAGCTAATGCTCGGCTCTTTTCAGAGAAAATTGCAGGAGGTGATTGCTCGTACAGGTGACAAGGATCGCGCCCGAGGCAGGGGCTCTTTCTGAGCAATCCATTTGTAGACCCAGGTGGGCAAGGCACATGGCAGTTTGCAAGCCCTGTCTCAGCCCTGTGCATTTGAGCGGGTCCCAGACTAGGAGGAACCTTTCTCCAGCTTCCTGTGGGGGAGGAGAAAAGGCACAGGGCCTTTTATGACTTCTGTGCCTGGGACAGGAAGGAATAGGGGTCAGCAAAGCCAGGACCTGGAGCTGGACAAATTGTGTGGTGGCTCTCTCTTATCTGAGAGCTTGAGTGTCTTCTGTGGTGGGGACTGCTGTAACTGACTCTGGAAGGCAGTGTATATGTCCCTGGGGTTGTGCTGGAGCATGGGGAACCCTAGCCCCTGGGGGAGTGGGATTGCCTTGCTCTGCCATAGTGGGAAATAGGTTTTTTTTTTTCCTGATCGAGTTTCTATGCTAAATTTATGTGTCATTTCTATGTAAACTAGAGACTTTCGCGACATGGGTTGGGGGACTCTTTAGGTAGTACCTCTGCTCTCGCTCCCCCCTTGGACACATCCACACCCACCTCTACGAAGGGTTGGGGATGCCTTGCAGCTCTGTGACTGAGGGCCATGTCTCTGAGTCAGGCCTGTGTATGGTGCCCGATTTCATCCTTTTCTAAACGTCTCCTCTCAAGAGATTATTTGACATGGCCTGTTAGACACCATTGTCCTCTTCCCCGTGTCTTCTCCCCGCTGACAGCAGCAGGCCAAATTGCCTGAGACCCGGTGCCTACCACAGTGCCTGGCCAGGGGCAGGGGCTCACCTGCCTTCTTCCATTTTGTTTGAGTAGATAGATGGGCAGCTAACAACTGTAACTTGTCCCAAGGCAAATGTTTATAGTCTCACAGAGAAGTTTGTGGTGACCTGAGACTGTATTGGAACCCATTTCTAAACATCGCATTGTATTTCTCTCTTCCCAGTCTGTTAACTAACCACTGTTGTGTTGTAGTGGGCTTTTGCGCAGTGCCTTGTTTTTTTATATGCTAAGTAAAAGGAATTTTAGCTTTCAGATGAGAGTCTGTTTCTTTTAGCATTCACCCAGGTGTTACCTGGTAGGGACGTTGACTGTATGAGTCTCCTGCCTCTCTTACCCATAGAATTCTCTTCTGTCAGGTGTGTGTCACTGGACAGCCTACCTCACAGGGTCGTTGTGAGGGTCAAGGGCTGTGCCACTGTGACACTGTGATGTACATGCTGGCTGTCACCAGAAATGGTGGCCTGATGGGGTTGGCTCAAAAGCACAGCCTGTTCCTTTATTTGTAGTCACTGAATAAAGAGTCAGTGTGGAGCTTAAGCTGGGGTTGTATTTCCAACAGTGGATCCAGTATGTGAAGCGGCCTGTGAGGGGCTGGCTGTGTGGTCCAGGTTAAACACTTGTGTGGTTAATGCATGCTGGCCTCTGCATTCCTCCATGGTTCCCTGCCCCTCCCTTCCCATCGTGGTGGCTGATGTTGCTGGTTACGTACAGGCCAAAGCTGGCTGGGCCACTGTGCTTTGGGGCACTAGGAGAGGTGGAGTCTGCTGGGAGATGCTTCTGCAAGCTTGTGTGTGTTTCTCTGTGTGTGCATACATACCCCTGGGCCAGTGGCAAGAACCAAGAGCCAATAGAGGGGCTTCTGAATAATGGCATCTTTGAGGTCTTTTTCATGCCTGACATCATTAGTAGCTGGCAGGTCTGAATGCCTGCTCTCTTCACCCTCCTCCCCTTCCTCGCCAGGAGATGAACAAATTAGTGTTCCCCGTATCTAACCCTGCTTTTGGCCTAGCTCAGGTCTCACACGCTTCACGGCTGGCTTCAGAATGGTTCCATTCTGTAGGTGGGCAGACTGAGAGTCAGGGACAATATTTACACGGCCCTATGTGAAAAACCCTTTCTACCCCACCAAGCAAAGGCTCACCCGGTTTCCCAGGCCCACCCTCCCTCACCTTGGCATGCATTCACAATGGTCTTCACCCACTTGTGTCTCATGGTCCTCCCAGGAGTTTCCTTGAAGGGCGAGGCATGAAGGGAGGGGTGATGGTGGCCTGGTCAGCGTGAGGCGGGATCTCGCCTCACTTCCTGCCAGGGTCTTTCCACACCACCGAATTCTACTCCCAGTCCTCGTCCTGGGAATCTGGGGGAGCAGTAGTCTCTTCTCCCGCTCTCTTTCCACCCCCTTTCTGCAGAAGCCCCGTTCTCTCTTAGTTTCTCTTTGCTTCCGGTGTCTCGGCCCTGGTTGCCAGTATACTCTTGGTGTTGCCACTGCGTCCTCTGGGTGCGGGAGCCCATAATTTCATTGTGTCCTCTGGCCACCATGCCGCTGCCTCATCATACCTTCTGCCAAGATCCTGGTTCTGCACCCCGCACCCCCCACCCCCGGCTGTGTTCAGGGTCCTGCAGTATGGCCATTGCTGTCCATCTCCTGTCACTGACAACTTGTTGGGAGCTTTGCTTCTGTGCTTGGGGGTCCCATAGTAGGGACAGGTAGGTAGGGCCCTTTGCTCGGGTAATTTTGAGTGTGCTTAGGTGCCTGGTCTCTGATGGGCCTGGAGCCCCTTGCAGGCCAGGGTTATGGGTGACTCTGTCAGGTAGCTTGTGTCCCTTGGAGGTAACAAAAGGGAAACCAGGGACCTGTCAAACATTGAATATTTAAATTTTGGCTAAGTTGCACTTGAACTCCAAGCTCTGGGCCCCCTATACTAGTGGGTGTCTAATAATTAATCCACAGTGGAGGAAGTAGGGAAGGCTAAGTGGATGTCACTGAGTGGGTGACTGGGAGGTCTTCTGTAAGGGGCTTCCTTCACAATGCCCACA